ATATTTAATACAACCTTTAGATCTAGTTCTGATAACTGCCAGTTGCCACCAATTCGCTCTTTGCAAGAGAATTCTACCTGAATCACAAGGTTAATAACCTGACTGCAAACCCAGCATCCTTAAGCTATCTATGGTCACCCTGGCAACTCACTATAAAGTTCTTCTTTTTAAAAGATTTCAGAAAAGTAATTTCAGTCATCAAGATTACATATTGCACAGAACAAAAAGCTTTATTATTCTTACCGTTCTCTGGATGTAACTCTACGTCTCTTTTCCTCCTATGTGGAGAGAAGGGAAAAAGAGAAAAACAATATTTCAAAAGAATATCAAAACCAAAAGCAAAGGGCTTCCCTGGTGGCGCAGTGGTTGAGAGTCCACATGCCGATGCAGGGGACGTGGGTTCGTGCCCCGGTCTGGGAAGATCCCACATGCCGCGGAGAGGCTGGGCCCGTGAGCCATGGCTGCTGAGCCTGTGCGTCCGGAGCCTGTGCTCCACAACGGGAGAGGCCACATCAGTGAGAGGCCCACGTACCACACACACAAAAAAGCGTGAGTCAAAGTATTAAATAAATACATTTGATGTGGTTAAAAACAGGGTTTGGGGGTGATCTGGGCAACCTTCAGTCTGGTGTTGATGTCCCACCACGCTCAAAACAAAGAGAGGCCCAGGAGCTGGCCCAGCACACGTCTGCGCACTACAGGTCATCTAGTGATGCTACGTAAAGTCAAAGATCCACCTCATGTCAGGGATTTGTTAACACTAGAAAAAAACCAAAGGAGTAATTTGGGATTCACATCAGAAAGTGATGATGACAACCTAGACTGGACACCAGCTCTTCTCTGATGAATACCTTAGTACACTACTTCCCTAAGTTCACAACACTTGCCATCTCCAGGATACCTGTATTTATGTATTTAAGAGGGATAAAAAATATTGTCGTGATGAAACCAATCTATGTCGTCTGAGGTGGAGGTTACAAGAATGCATGCGTGCATACGTGTGACCACACATGCACAGTGAATAAAGTCTGTAGATTATGCTGATGTCCATTTTCTGGTTTTGCTATTACGGTTATGTGTGACGTCACCATTGGAGAAAGTTGGGTAAACTACACAGGACCCCTCTGTACTATATTATATGAAATTAATCTGTATGTGTATATATAAAATTCTGCCTCCAGACTGCCTTTAGACTTGAGCTACAACATCAACCCTTCCCTGGGTCTGCCTCTCTTGGCCTGTCCTGCATATTTCAGACTGGCCAGCCTGAAGTCGTGTGACTCAGCTGCTTAAATTAATCTCATACACACAGACATCACTGGGTCTGTTTCTCTGGAGAACCCTATGATAGATTTTATACTAATATACTACTGTAATATATACATACATATAATTTGAAACAATACAGAAGAAACTGATACATGCTCGCCTCTCGCAGGAAGAACAGGACGGAGAGGGGGGAGCACCACCCTTATGTACCAAACAGCCTTTTGTGCTGCTGCCAGCCCGGCCGCCCCAGGTGCAAGCAGATATAATGGCATGTGGCCCAGGCAGTGGCTACACAGCTAAGGATTTTAAGGCACAATGCAGCGAGATGCCAGGGCTACGGTCACACATGTGGAACATTCTAAAGCCAAGAGCGGTCGCAGGATTCTGCGCATGGGCCCCCGAGGGCACTCTGGAGGCTGTCGCAGACCCTCAGGTCCCACGTGAGGAGACAGCCCGCTAGAACACAGCAGGCGGCCCGCCTCCCAGATCTCGCCCGGGTCAGCCTCCCAGGCACCCGGCCTCCTCTGCACAGCACAGGGCAGGCTCACAGAGGGAAGAGCGGCCCAAACCCAAAGGTCACACCAAACCCCACGGGAGAAGAGTAAACCAAGGTGATGAGGGGAGAGGGGAGGGGTCCCTCGGGAAGCTGGCCACTCAGGATTTCCAGCCTCTTCCACAGGAAGCCAGCTCACGAAGCACCAAGACCTGTCCTGGGTCACACTCAGAGGACTTGACCCCTGACCCCACAGCCCCGCTTCCCAAGCCTCCTCGATGCTGACGATGCTGACGCGGATCAGCATGGAGGAATGGGGGACTGCACGGCTGGGGGGCTGCTGGGAACTCAGGACTAGCCCACCCCGAGGCCCCGCGCCAGCAGGCGCCACACTCACTGGATGGTCTCAATGATTTCGTGAGCGGCATCGTGGGTTTAAACGTCCTGAAAGACAACGGGACACGGTTCAGAGCCGTCCCTCCCCGCTCCAGTGATGGGGGCGACCAGGGGAGGTGGGTGCTGCAGCCCCCGGGACTCCCCGACACGCGGTACCTACCAGAGAGCTCCACCTACAGCGCTGGGGCCCTGTCCTGCCACGTGGGACACGCTGGTTCTGGGAGCGCCTGTTCCTGCAGCGCCCTGCCGCCCAGCGGGCTGCGGGGAAGGGACCGGGACGGACTCGAAGCCTCCGACCCTCCTGCCCCAGGACTTCCCCCGGGTGCTCCTGCAGCCTGGAAGCCACAGGTCTGCCTCTGAGTCCCTGAATCGCCGCAGGCCTCGGTCTCCATCTGTAAAATGGGGAAACACCACTCGTGCAACCACCGGGAGCGGGCGAGCAGCGTTCCTCCCTCCCGCCCACGGCGGCGCTCTCCGGGCCTCACTGCACCCGCGGGCTGGCATCGCCACTTTCCCCGAGGAGCACGTCGGGGGTCGCTCTGGCCTTTCGCCGGGGTCTTGGCGGCCAGCTAACCCAAGACCCCGCAGAAACCAAGTGAGGACGACGCATCGTGTGGACGGTCTGTAACTCTAGACTGCACCTCTGCCCCGCCGGTTAAGGTTCCTATCGCGGTGAGGAGGGGCCTCGAAGAGGATGCACAGTGAGAGGAGGGCCCCCGAAGAACACGGGCTGAAGCTGGAGGTGAGATGGTCAGGCCCAGAGCTGCCAGCCCTGCCCCGGGACAGCGACTGCCCCTCTCAGACCAGGCCACCATTTCCACGCTTCACAGTGGAGGACGGCAACGCAGGCAGAGCCCCTACGGGCCAGGGCATGGATGCCCGGAAGGTCCCAGGACAGGGGCCCCCACGGCACAGCGGTCCTAACCTAACAGGTCAAACAACTCCAGAAACACCCTTTGTGTCCTAAGCCTCATCTCTGCAACAGCAGCACTACTGAGCTATAATTCACACAGAATGGGCCCCCACTTCAAGTATACACTTCAGTGGGTTTTAATACATTCAAAGCTGGGCAACCATCCCCTCTATCTAGTTCCAGAACATCCCATCACCCCATTAGCAGACATGCCCCAATCCCCTCCCCAGCCCCTGACAACACTAATCCACTCTCTGTTTCTGTGGATTTGCCCATTCTGGACGTTTGTAAATAGAATTACGGTATGTGACCTTTTGCCCAGAATCTTATTTTTTAAGGCAAAGGAAAAAAACAATCTTCTATCGTTCTTAATAATATCCTCCAACTTACCAAGGACGGAGCAGTAAATATC